GAGGCCAGCCTGGGCTACCAAGTGAGCTCCAGGAAAGGCGCAAAGCTACGCAGAGAAACCCTGTCTCGAAAAACCAAAAAAAAAAAAAAAAAAGAGGGAAGAACCAGGGCACAGTCACACAGTCACAATCTGAACAGAGCAAAACCGAACTCCAAGAGTGTATATAACTCAATGTCCCATATCTGGGATTCATTCACGATCTTCTGGGATCCTCCAAGGGTCTTAGGTCACTTCTCCACCTCTGCCCTCTGCAGGACCTACAGTTAGTCTTCCAGGTTCTGGTGGCTCCACTCCACTGCTGCTACCGTTCTTGGTGGTCATCCCATGGTACTGGCATCTCCAAAATGCTAAGGTCTCTGCTGCAAGTGGGCTACACTTTTACCAATAGCCTTTTCTGGGCTCACTTCATGGTACCAATCCTCAACTTCTCCGCATGACCTCTGGATCATGGGGATGTCACTGCTACTGTGGCCACACCTTCTTTTGTGACTTATCTTGATATCTTACAGTGCCAGGCCCAGCTGCTTCTCAAGACCCCCTCATACCTTCAAAACCAGTACCACCTGAGTGATTCCTACACTACCAAGCTCAGCTACCAATGCCAAGTACAAATTTGGCCGCCTCCAGAACACAGCTTGTGTGTGCTGATTCTGAGGAAACACTTTCCAGAAGATTTCACTGCAGTGATACTGGTATCTTTTAAATCACTAATTTCTCAGCTCCACCTGACCAGCATCATGCACCCCAGCAAAGCAAAGGTTTACTACAGTGGCTCTGTTCTCTTGTGAATTGCAACTGATTCATCAGCCCCAGCTGACCAGAACCACAGATTCTTGACCCAAAATAGCAAGGGACCTTATAGAGTCAGTCTTTAAGTGACTCTAAACTTCCCTCTGGAACTCCACAAGCCAGGCTTCCACAATCTGCATTGCCACCAACATTCTTATCTTTCAGGCTCCCTCAGAAAATATGACCAAACTTTGAACACTCAACAGATTTTCTAGTCCAAAGTTCCAAAATCCATCCACAATCCTTCCCGAAACAACACAGGTCTGTCCCAACAGATCCTGGTACCAATTGGTCTTAGTTAGGGTTAATGTCGCTGTGATGAAACACCATGCCAAAAAAAAAAAAAAAAAAAAAAAAAGGAACTTGGGGAGGGGAGGAAAGAATTTATTTCACTCACAGTTCTGTAGAAGAGTTCATCACCAAAAGAAATGAGGACAAACTCAAGCAGGGTAGAAATCTGGAGGCAGGAGCTGATGCAGAGGACATGGAGAAGTGCTGCTTACTGGCTTGCTTCTCATGGTTTGCTCTGTCTGCTTTCTTATAGAACTCAGGACTAGTCCAGGGATATGGCTCTTTCCAGCTCTTCATTGACACATTCCAAAATCTCACTGCAGCTTCAAAGGCAGTGTTGATCGCTTGCACATTGTTTATAATCTTCTAAGACAGTGGTTCTCAACCGTCCTAATGCTACAACCCTTTAGAACAGTTCCTCATGTGGTGGTGACCCCCAAACATAAAATTATTTTCATTGCTACTTCATAACTATAGTATCACTACTGTTATGAATTGTAATATAATTACCTGACATGCAGGATATCTGATATGTTACACTCAGGTGGGTCATGACATCTGGGTTGAGAACCACTCTTCTAAGAGGAACCACCAGAGCTTCTCATGGTCTTAGAGAGCTGCACTTTTTTAAAACACTCACACAAACAACTGAGACAGGGCTGTGGAGAAAGCTTCATTTGTAAACTTAATGTAGTGCAAGAAGGGTTCCTAAGGCCAGGCATGGTGGCACACAACTTAAAACCCAGCATTTGGGGTCTGGGGAACAGAGGCAGGCAGATCTCTGTGCGTTTCAAGGCCAGCCTGGTCTACATAGCAAGTTCCAGGTCAATCAGGGCTTCAAGATGAGACTTTGTCTCAAAACAAACAAAACAGAAGGAGGAAGAGGAGGAAGAGGAGGAAGAGGAGGAGGAGGAGAAAGGGGACCTAAGTTTGAGTCCTAGCACCCACTGCATGTCTACAATCCCAGCACTTGGGTCTTGGAGACAAGAGGATCCCTAGGGCTTGCTGACCAGCCTGTCTAGCCAAATCAGAGAGCTCCAGGCTCAGTGAGAGATCCTTTCTCAACCAACCAACAAACCAACAAACCAACAAACCAACCAATCAAATAAGGGGGAGAGTGGTTAAGGAAGACTGCCAGTATCAACCTCTGGCTTCTGTATGGATGGACATGCACCTGAACAC